AGCCTTTTCTTAACTGAAAATGTTCCAGTTGCCCTTTTCGAGCCTGTTATTATCCCTTTAGTCCTTTTTCAACCAGAATGGTACATACAGCAGATTTGCAGAAGACAGTGGTGTCCTCAGACGATGAGTATAAAAGTAAAAATTGTGGTTGTGATGGTATGGTTGAAAATCTGCCTGTTTTTTTATAGCTGCAATAGCACTTAGACTTATATACTGCTTCATAATACTTTGCAGCCATCTCTAAGCAATTTATAGAGTCAGCATATTGCCCCCCAAAATCTGGGTCCTCATTTTATTGACCTCAGAAAGATGGAAAGCTGAGTCAATCCTGAGTTGATCAGAATCAAACTCCTGACAATGAGCAGAGTCAGCCGTCAATACTGCATTCCCACCACTGCACCTTCATGACTCTTTGTAGATGACACTAAGTGTGTATGAGAGAGTGTTTGCATTCTTGTTAGCACTATCACTTTGCAAAATTTCTGCCTGCTTTTGCAGTTCCATTACCTTTTGTTTCCTCAATGAATAGATCACCTAGGAGTGACATCTGGAAATTTAACAAATACTAAGTAATATACTATTATAGTGTATTAAAAATACCGATAGAGTTCAGAGTTCTGGCTGGTTCTGAAAGACTGGATTGGGGTAGACAGAAAGCAAAATAATGGATTTCTAACACATTTCCAGGGCCAATAAATAATGGGTAGGATGATGAATTTGAGCAAAATTTTGGAAGCCAGATGTAAATAAAGCTATAAACCTCCAGAGAAGGCCCATAATTTCATATATGCAGGTAGTACTCAACTTACAATGGTAGTAGAGCTTGGCCATGTGGCTGACCCGATTGTATGATTTTTTGTAGTGGTCATTAAGCAAATGCCATCATTGTTAATGCTATGGTCATTAAGCAAATCCATTGTCGCTATGAGGCATTTGTGCTGAAAACTGGAAATAAATGCTGTTTTTTAGCAAAAACATCATAAATCAAGTCAAGGACTAACTGTAGTTTTGAGTGTTCCTGACACTGTTGTCTACTGCTGGAACCACAGTGCCAAAACAAACACAACTTTGACATTTCTCATTAGACAAAGTATTCACTCACAAAGGGACACCTTGGATTTGGGTTTCTCATTGACTGCTAGTGATCTCACTCACCCAGTAATTTTGACAGAATGGGTACCATGTCGTCGGTACGGTTCTGGCTTCCCAGCTGCTACAGGAGTATGCTGATAAACCCCACTTCGATACACAAAGAAGTCTTCATGCACTTCCATGATGGCTGCAGTGGAATGGAAAGGAGATTATGCATATAGGCTCGAAAAGAATCTGACATGAACACTTTATTCTTCATAACTCAAATACCAATATTTCTGGTTTCACCCACAATACAAAAGTTAAGTCTGGAGCTGAGAAGAAATCTAGAGCTTATCGAATTCTCCAACCAGTTTCTATACTTTTGGCACCAAAGAGGACTGTGCATAGGCCCATGACATGTGGAACTTTGTTGCTTACATAGAAGGTGGAACCAGGAAAGACCTTGTTATGGTCAAGAAACGTGGCCTGTTGGTGGCAGTTGTGCTCTCCTGCCTTCCCCATCAAGCTACCCAAGCTTAATGACACTTGACTAGACATAACATTTTGCACCCTTTGTTCATGCAGTTGTGGAAAGCTGAAGAGCAGAGTTTAGTCCTCTCAAGATGAACCACCAACAAGCTTCTAAAGATCAGCACCTTAGGGGGTACCTTCTATCCCAATTTCCAAGATGGCTGGTTTCCCCCAATTCAACTCATAAGAACCCAACCTCGGAAAGTTAAGGAAGCCCACTTAAGGAAGTGGGATGAAGCGGGGAGGCAGGAGGGTCACAGGAGCACTGTGGACTGTTCCAACCAAAAAGCATTAAAATAGCATGCAAGGAACAGTTTGGGGCATCCAGCAGGTTTGAAAGTTTGTTTCCTCAGTTTACTTCTGAGTTGCCATAATGCCCGTGTATTTAACCCTGAGAGTTTTTGGAAGCAAATCTGTTTCCTGATTCATTATTGGCCTGGATTACTAAAACTGCAAATTAGTGTCCAGAGAGAGTGTTGCTGATTTTCCTTTTCCTGGTGACCTCCTGGGCAAGTCCACACAGGTTTTTAATAACATTATGGAAAACTTTTCTTATTACTTTCTTCCTGGAGTTTTTGTTCTTTTGGCTTCCCTGGTATTTCCTTGGTAGATAGCCCTGGTATTTTCCATTTCCCACTGAAATGATAACTAGTTAAATCCTGGTTAATTCTGAGCCCAACCAAGCTTTGCTAGGCACCACCACTTTCTTGCCCAGCCTGCTTAAAACTAGTGTGGAAGAAGCTTTGCGGGTCAAAGGCAAACACACAACTCACTTCAGACTGACTGAATTTACCCTCTTTCTAGATTGGCGGAAGGCACCAGATCATTTAATACTTGGAAAGGCTACGTTCACACAAGTTGCTAAACTGGATCAAGCTAACCAAGTTGAAAGCTGTCCACACTTGAATGAAATTGCTAGATTAAATAATCTGGTTAAATGTGGACAAGGCAACACCCTCAGTTCCTGCCAGTTTTTGTAATAATTGTGCTGTGAAAACTATAGTGGGAACTTTGCTCTCCTTGTGGCTTCCAGCAAAGTCATGTTTGACTTTTTGGCCAAAATAGTTTATTCCTTCATTTTGGAAAGAACATTTACATTCCTACAACCAGATAGGTGAAAGGTTTGTCATTGAATGAATTATGAGAAGCATCCTTGTATTTTAACTTGCTATATGAACCAGAGCCTCATGTTAAGTAGCCATGTGATTCATTTTCTTTGGTCCCTGCATATTCTGTGAACACAGCTATTGTTCACAGTCCAACAACACTGCCTTTGTTCACCCAGGTTCAGGCTTCAGCATGCTGTGGGAATCCAATGGTAGTTAATTTTCTGTAGCTAAGAATGGCTCCTTTTCAAAAAAAAACAGATTTCCTTTGACTCCTTCCTTTATTTTATATTATGTTCTCTTTTTGGTTTTCTGTTGTAGACCAATTCAAGGATATTTCCTTTTTCCTTCTGGAAAACAGAAAAGTGGTTTGTTGCTTCCTAAGCAGCTTAAGATTTGAGAGATCATTGTGCAAACAGCTAGCTGCAAACTTCTCCGTTAAAAGTGAACATAACTTCACCAAATCATAAGCAGGCTGTTACAAAGAAAATTAGAACATCTGTATGGGAATAAATAGGTTAAATACAAAAAAAAAATATTGCTGGAATTAGCTTTTTTAGATTCTTTCCATGCCTAATTCTCACGGAGTTCTCTTTAGCAAGATTTATTGAGATGAAGTCAATAGGCTACAAGAATTCCAGCAACTGGACTATTTCCAATTTAAACCATTACATCCCTGTGAACATTAGGGCAGAGACCTTCTGATTCTCTTTCTGGCAACCTTACTACAATCTCGTGAGTGAGATGGTCTGCTCACTGCCACTGGAGGAGCTTGCAACTGGTTGTTTACACAGCAATCGCTTGATTCTTAGTAGTCTTGAAATAAATCATTTCAACAAAAAACAGACATTGGATACTATTAAAGGAGGCAACTCAGCCAGCGCTTTCCAGTACAAATCATTTCTCCTTTGTGTGATTTTCCACCCTGATGTATATTTCAGAGAGCCCACCTCACCTTGCACAGGTCCATTTTCCATTAACTCCTTCATGATCTCCTTCTCCTACAAACAAATGACCAATGTTAGATCAACAGAGAATCAAAAGCAATTATTCATTTCTCATGGCTTCTCCCTAGATGAGGAGCTTATGTTTTGATCAACCTTGGTGCTTCCGAGTATTCATCATCAATCACCAGCCCTTATGGTTAGAGTCAGAGGATTGATGTGTTCTATTACACTGCACATTTAGGGACCGCCTGGTTAATCTGAAAATCTATATATAATCGTGCTGATATTACTTAATAATGGAGACTACCAAGGACTCCCTTAACATTCTTCACTTTTCTCCCAATAATTTCAACACACATTTTCAGAGTTGCAAAAAGTTAGCTCAGGGGCAGGTTCAGTTTCAGAGTTCCTTGCCTTGTTGGGTTTAAAGTAGCCCATTATCCTACCAAAATAGAGCCTGGTGCATCCAGTTTTGACAGGCTGTACCAAAATGGGCAACCATATTCTCCCAGTCTTAGTAGATTAAGCCACTGACTACAGGTAATCCTCCATATGACCATAAGAAGAGGGGTGGGTGCAGTGGTTAGAATGCAGTACTGCAGGCTATTTCTGCTGACTGCCAGCTGCCAGCAGCTCGCAGTTCAATTCTGACCAGCTCAAGGTTGACTCAGCCTTCCATCCTTCTGAGGTCGCTAAAATGAAGACCTAGATTGTTGGGGGCAATAGGCTGACTCTATAAACTGCTTAGAGAGGGCTGCAAAGCACTGTGGAGTCTAACTGCTATTGCTAAATGCTATATGCTAAATCCAATTTTAATATCTTTTTTGAAGCAGTCGTTAAGCAAACAAACACCATGTTTGTAAAGCAACTATTGCAATTGTTCAGCAACTATTTTGGTTGTTAAGTGAACCAATTATTCACAATGGGCCAGTTTTGCTAAAACCCAGAAATAAATGCTGTTGTTTTGGCAAAGTTTTAATTAGAGATGTTGTTTTATTGTCCTGTTAATTTTTTTCCTTCCCCAATAGTAAATTGTTGTTGTAAACTAGTTCACTTTTTTATTATACCCTTTTTATTGTAAAGATTGGTCAAACACTGTAATAAAGAAATTTGATTTGCTGACCGTTGCTCTACTTAAATGGAATAGCAATGTCTGCTCTTATTTCCATTCCCCAAAGACCTTGACCCTCCTCACAAATTTTACCAGCATGGTAATAAGAAGAAAAGGCAGGACTTACATTTGAGGAGAGACGATATGCAGGTGTGGATTGGTAGATCTCATTGGAGTCAGTTTGTAAGCTGGGGCAGCGTGCTGTGGCTTGTCTCTTTCCCCTGCCAGTGGATCGGGTGTGCATCATGCAAGGTGGACTGGCAAGGGAGCTTTCCTTTTCTTCGCTGGTGAAGGGGTAGCATTCATCGGTCACCACCCTAGAAGACGCAAGGGAGAAAAGAGAATGGTTTGGAGGTGTCTTGGAACTCAGGACTCATGCCCAGGCTCACTTCCAAAAATCAAACTCTTCTCGAGCTAGCTTAACAGTGCTTGAAGATGGCGGTGATAAATAGCAACTTAGAGAAATGTGATCCAGACTGTTGACTAACACAAAGCCATTGAACCATAGAATCATATGCTGTCCACCCTCTACCCTACGTTCTCTAAACACCTTTCTCCTGAACTTCTGCAGGAAACCAAGGATTGTCATACGAATACAGAATAACAGAGTTGAAACAAACATGACAGGTCTTCTAGTCCAATCCCCTGCCCAAGGAGACCTTACACCATCCTGGACAAATGACTGTCCAGTTCTTTTTTTGAAGAACTCCAGCATCCAAAACTCTGGGAGTTAAGCTTTCCACTCAGGGGTGAAATTCAACCATCTTGCACCACCTCAGGAGAGGTGGTAGGGACAATTTGAATCAGTTGGCCCTGCCCACACCCACCCTCCTTTTCTTTCTGAGTCCCACCAAGTGATGCTCACAGAGCTGGTAGGGAAAATTTTTGAATTTCACCCGTTTCCATTGATTAATTGTTGTCACCGACAGAAAAGTTCCCCTTAGTTCCAGTCATAGTCTAGTCAAATATCATAGTAGGTTGTACTCTTGGAAATGAATGTCCCTTTCATTATTCCCATATTGTCCCAAGCTCATTTGCAAAAAAAGACCATCAGCCACCCACCCTCTCCTGCGCAGGAACCACCAGGCTCCATCCACGCGGCCTCCATTGCAGCCTTGTTGGTGGCGAGTGTTGCAAGACAGCAGATTCTGGGGGGACAAGGCAGGTGTCATGTGTCCCATGGAATGGATCGAGATCCGGTCAGAAGCCACCGCTGGAGAGAAAAAAGAAACTTGTGGTTAGAAACCTGTTACGTTTCTTGCATCCAACTTTCCAGTTACAGATCCAGAATTGAAGAACAGGAAAAGGGAAACTGAGGGCCAGTGAAGAGAGGGACAAGTGCAATCCCATAAGCATGAGAAAATGGAATCAGATTGTGCTTGAGAAGGCTGGTGCAAAATATATCCATATGTATCAGTGGAGAAAAACCTTACCTTACTTACCCTGGACAGTCATTTATCCAAATGGTATATAAGGACTGCTATCTCGGGCAGGGGTTGGGCTAGAAGACCTCTAAGATCCCTTCTAGTCCAAGGATTCTAGGATTCTAATGCTCTGACTGTCACATATGCATCCAGGGGTTTCTACCTGCTGTGGAAAAGGCCCACGATCCTGCACAGTTGCCTTGATCAAGAGGCTCATGGATCATCCCAGACCACTTATCGGCAGCATTGAAATGGGAAGGGAGTACTTCGTTGGTGCCCATGTTGATCTGCAGAAAACAGAGGAAAGCAGAAAGAGAATGAAACATTCAATAAACAGAACAATTTTCCCAGGAGTCATAGGAAAAGTGGGATTGGGGGAGCAGGGCTATGAACATTCTGAGATCCCAACCAGATCCCCTGAAGCAGGAACTGCTATTGCATAAACCTTTCCGCAAAATGGTTGTTGTCCTTTATGCAACTTGGAATGGGGACACTTAACCTTTGTCAACAACAGCAAGAAGAGCAGTGATACAAGGAAGGTAAAAAGTTTAAAATGAGCAGCCACAACAGTATGATTGGAGCTCCACTTTTTTTAGATATGTTGTGAGAGACACATAAAAAAAGAGGTTGAACTTACATTGCAATGTCAAATGTACCATTTTTCTATTTTGAACCCTACCCCGCAGAGTATCTACTTCAATGTTTATCAACGTGGCAACTATAAGTTTTGTAGACTTCAACTCCCAGAATTCCATTATGATGACTTCTGGCATTTGACACAGATCAAGCGAGCAAGAGAAAATGACATTGTTGGTTGAATAAATTGGTATTTCTAGGCAATTTTAAGCTGTGTGGACGAATCAGCTCCCAGAATTCCCCAACCGGTTGAAGTCACCCAGCTTAAAATTACCAAGGTTGAGAAATACCAATCTATTCAACCAACAGTATCATTTTCTGCTATCCATTTCTCAAAGCAACAATGATTTTCAGAATAGATTTAGGATTTAGCAGGAACTTGAGCAAATTTTGCAATCTTTTTATTGGTGAAAATGCAGGCTGCAAGAGGACAAGCAGTTGAGCCTACACACATTTCCATACCCCTAGGCAGCAGCAGGGCTAGTTGCAGATCTCCAAGGCTGTAACTTACAAAACATCTCAATGTTCAAAGCATTTTTCTCTTTCATGGGACAGATTCCAAAACATGATATTTTTGTTCTAGACCTTCTTGCCACTCCTGTTATTGATTCAAGAGATTACAACCAGCATTCCAAGTATTGTAGAGATGCCAAACTGGGGTGTGTGTATGCGTGTGTGTTCCCTTCAATTTGTATGGTGCAACAGTCTGGCCATTCTACTGTGTCAAATGCCAGAAATCAACATAATGGAACAACACACTTTCTAGTCCTTGGATATCACTGCTACAAACGTAGTGTGAAATATTTACTATATTCTGCTTAGATTCGACTTTTCCCCCAAGGATTTTAAAACACTGAAGAGCACTGAAGAGCTATCTTGGTACAGATGGACCCAGTTCCTTCAATTCCCACAATGACCACAGCCATAAAGCATTTGCCCCTAAAATGCTGTGTGAATCAACCACTGTCAATCCCCTCTCCTTCTTGTTTTATTCAGATAATTTCAAGACCGGTCCTAATATTTCCACACAATTCACTTACCAAGATTATTTAGCTAACCCAGTTTCTGGACTAACATACTACACTGAATCTTTACACAGCCAATATCAAAGCAAAGCTATACTGCACTCATAGGCCTTGTAAACCATATCAACCGATCTAAAAAACACAACATGTAGACTAAGTTTGTGGCTTGGTTCTCATAAGACAGAGGATCTAATTATGAATTCACCCATTTTCTGGATTTGTGTAATACCCTAAACCGCAAACTAATCAAACAAACACCCATTTACTCTCCTTTCCAAAAACTTTAAAATTTAAAAGAACCATTCTTAATGGGTTGTGTGAATGAAACTACTAGCTCTTCAAAAAGTATGCTGTGTAAACACATCATCCCAGTCTACTTGAAGGTTACAGCTGTAGGGATGAAAGTAGAGGATGGAAACTATGCACCCCTGGTGAAGTTCCTGCCAGAAAAGCAGAATAAATCTAACAAATACATGAGAAAACCACTTACATGAAGCTCATTCATATTCATGACAGATGTGGGAGGCTTGATGGTGCCAAGACGGTACCGAATGCCCTCCTCCAGTGTCATCCCCCAGAACTGGCTGTAGTTTGAAGCTCTCCAGCTGGAGAAAGACAGAAGACAATCTGCTAAAAGGACAATGCTTAGCTTTGCCAAGGAAGAATACTCAGAGTGAGCCATGGTAACATTTCCGTCTCAGGTTGTAACATCTGGATCCGTTGTAGGATGAATTTAGTTTCCTCTTTCCTGGTTGCTAATTAGCTCAGAATGAAAAGCAAAAGTCCGTCTCTCTTCCTGGAGCCTGAACTAGTGAATGGGTTAAGCATCTAAGGCAGGGGTCCCCAACCTCTGGACCGCGGCTCACTAGTGGGCAGTGAGGTATTTGCAACTGGGTCGCAGAAATGGTGGGAGAGAGCACACACACATGCACGTGCATCCTGGCATGAGCAGTGGGCAAGCACATGAAAGCATGCACACTCCATTTGCATGAGTGGCAGGTGCAGGTATGTACTGCTCATGCAAACGGAGCTGCCCATGCGCATGTCTGCTCACACGGAACCATCCCCTCCCCACCCACCACCCACCCTCGTCAGTCCACAAAGCCGGAAAGGTGGGGGAAATTGGATCCAAGGCAGCTGGTTTATTCCAACTGGTTCAGAAAACCTTAATTCCCAGCGATGGTTTTATAGATGCCCACAGTTTTTATTTTGAATTGATCTACTAAAGCATCTGAATGAGACCCAACTTCTTCAATTCAGCCCACGCTTCATCAATTCAAAGAATAGAATTTTTGTTCTTACCCATAATTCCCTCTGTTGATGGCATCGATCATGTCCCCATTGATAAGACAGACACGGTTTTCACACTCCCATTTGCCATGCCCACTGCAAGTACTGTGGAGAAAAGGCACAGAAAGGATCATTAAGGACTCAGAGGAGACTGAGTTAATCACAAATCCAAATCTGAGACCTGCAATGTTAGGTAATCCTCAATTTATGACCAAAATTGAGACCAGAATTTCAATTGCTAAGCAAGGCAGCTGTTAAATCAGTCATATTCATTTTATAATCTTTTCTGATACGTTTATAAGTAAATCACTACTGTTATTAAATGAATAATCTGTTGTTAAGCAAATCTGACTTTCCCCCATTGGCTTTGCTTGTCAGGAGCAGCTGGGAAGCTTGCAAATGATGATCACATGATGCTGCAACCATCATAAATACATGCCAGTTGCCAAGCGCCTGAATTTTGATCACACGACTGGGTGGAATGCTATCATGGGTGTAAGTGCAAGGACCAGTCGTAAGTCACTTTTTCAGTGCCATTGTAATTTCAGTCGCTAAATGAATGGTTGTAAATCGAGGGTTATCTGTATATCTAGGTGACATGATTTTGACTTGTTGGTTTGGAAATATCAAATAAGGCAATGCCTGGTGTTTCAAGTAAGAGAACAGAGAAGATAGGAGAACAGAGCAGCAGAACAAGATGGGGAAAATCTCAAAGAGCGGTGAAAGGAAGGGAAAGGAAAGGAAAGGAAAGGAAAGAAGGGAAGGAAAGGAAAGGAAAGGAAAGGAAGGGAAGGGAAGGGAAGG